TGTACTTCAATGGTGGCAAACACATGGATGTAGAATGACAATTTAAGCCCATCATTCAATTGTTTAGATTGTAACTTCCTCGAGAGGATAGCTAGTTTCATCAATCTTGGTACCCCATCACCTAGTACAGAATAGATGCTTAAGAAATGGTTGTTAAATTTGAATTCTGGGATTAAAATTATCAGTCACTATAACAACTGTGACCCTTAATTTTTAAAAGGCGATAGCCTGTGTCCCAATTATTTCAATAGCACTACAATCAAATAGTCTCTCTGCGTGCTTAAGACTTCACACTCATTTTTAATGCTCTTTCAAATGAAATGGATGTGTCAGACTTTGACAGATAGTGCTAGCCTCAGAGAGAGAGCGTGACATAACTCCAAGATTCTCATAGAAGATGAGCGGCGCAAAGATTGGCAATGTTATCATGCAAATGGCAAATTAAATTGGTCTCAAAAGTTATATTCCATTCAATGACAGCAAATGTTTCAAACTTCTGATTCACTCTCCTTCATCTGAAAGAAAAGAATGGTGCTGCCCTCCTTTACCATCTGAAGGTTATTTTCATATCTGGAGAGCTCAGAACTTTTTGTAAGAAAACTTTAGATTCTATGGGATATAGTAAAAGGGTAATACTGGGAAATAAGAAGCAGAGAAGGAAGGAAATGAACAATCTCTGAATTTTCTGCATTACCATGCTGAAAGAAGTAGAGAGACATATGACGAATGTGGGCCTCAGCATACTGCCAACAATGATTTGTATCTGAGAAGTGATGTAACAAAAATCATTGAGGCCACGAATGCTTGACCAGGAAAGGAAGCGAGTCAGCTAAATAACAACAGTGAGAGACTATAGAGGGCCAAGCCCAAGTCCTGCATGACTACCCATGAAATAGCATAAGAACTAGGGAAAGGCCTCCAATGTACTGGGTTCATCCAATTTCATAGGGTCATAAGCATGTAGATTCAGAGCTAGGAGGGGCCTCTAAGACCATCAAGCCCAACCCCACTGTGTATTTGACAAAATAGGCCCAGGTTAAGCGACTTGCTCAGGATCACATAGCTAGTAAATGTCTGGGGCAGGACTCGATCAAGTTTTATTGAATTCAAGTCTAGTGCTCTATCCGTTGTACCATATGATTGCAGATTTACTGGGGGGAGGGGTGTGTAGTGGGAGACATATGGACAATAAATCATTTTTAAATATGAGGATCCATAGGCAGGTTGTAATTGATGTTGGAGGAGGGACTACCCACACTGATGGATCAAGTCTACTCTTTTCTGGGAAAATAACACTAATGCAAAATAAAGAAAGCCCTAGGAGTTCCTGAATCTGAACTTCTTTGCCTGACATCTGGGACTATTCTCGATTCCCAGAAAAGCACCATAAAGCACACTATGGTAATACCTTCTGACTGTTTTATAAGAAAATCATTCTTCTGGATGAGTTTAGTTGCTATCAAAGAGAATCTCAGGGTAACTCTCAGTTGAAGAAAGCATCAGATCAGTGGCCAGTACCTGGGGCTTTAAAAACAGACCCTACTTGGTTAGCATTTAACTAATTGTTGTTCTCAGTCATTTCAGTTGTGTCCAACTCTTCATGACTCCATTTGGGGTTTTCTCAGAAAAAGATACTGGAGTGGTTCACCATTTCCTTTTCCAGCTCATTTTACAGATGAGGAAACTGAGGCACGTATGGTTAAGTGATTTGCCCAGGATCACAAAGCTAGTGTCGGAGGCCAGACTTGAACTCAAGAAGATGAGTGTTCCTGACTCCAGGCCTAGTACTCTATCCACAGCAAGACTTAGCTGCCCATTTAGGTAATCACAAACACAAAAAGATCATGAAACCAAAAGAAGGTAATGCCAAGAAGGAGAATTACTGAAGGAGGCCAGAAAACACTGTAAGACTAAAGTAGAGATAAGAGAACCTCAATCCAACATGAGAAAGAACTTCGAATTAAAGATTAAAAAAATTTTGTTGCCTTATGAGAGTTCATTCCATAACTGTAAGAGTTATTTATCTGTAAATAAATGATTAAAATGATTTTAAAAATCATTTATCTGTAACAAGAAAGGAAAATCATAACATTTAAAGTCCAACACCATGAAGAACCATGAATTCAACAAATTTTTGAATAAATTCTCGGTGCAAGGCATACACCAAGTGACGTGAGAAATACAAAGGTGTACCAAAAATGTTCCTTGCCCTCAAGTTTATATACTAGGAAGGGAGTTAAAAATTACACTTAACTGCAATGCAACACAGTATGTGCTAAGTATCATATGAGGGACACAAGCTGAATTCTATGGACACAGACTGTTTCCCATTAGGGCTGATCAGGGAAGATAACATGAAGGATGGGCAGAATTCAAAACAGGCACTTATTAGAAAAGGGTGTTCCAGGCAGAGAAAATTATTTTACCATAGCCATGAAGTCGGAAAAGTAGAAGGAATATTTGGGACGATCAGATGGGCTGATACGTAAGGTTTATGTAAGTGGTACAAGTCTAGAATGGTAGATTTGAGGCAAATCTTGGAGAGTTTTGAATACCAGGCAAAGGGGATTTTTCTCTACTTTCCAGCTTATTAAGAAGAATGAAAAGTTTACTTATAGAATGGAAGAATGATGAGCTCAAGAACAGATGAGTATGAAGTAGTCCCTCTCCAAGAACAAAGTTGCCTCCTTTGCTCTAGTGTGTGAGGTGGGGAATCTACAGGCGGCACCAGAGAGGTCATCTGCTAATGACCCCGCAAGGAACAGGATTTGGTGAATGCCTTTCCAAGATCTACTGAGGTGACTATTGACCAGAGGTGAACAACACTTCCACGGGTACGTATTCAAGACGTGACTGAGAAATTTAAGAGACGTTCCAAATGTGACAGATGCTAACAACTACTGGTAATTCATGTAAGGAGAAATAATACTGCTGAACATAAATCAGTTTACTGCCAAGTAAAGAGGCAAATTACCAAATTCTGCAGACAGCTAAATTCTAAAGGACATATGCAGCTGTAGTGCCTCACCTTTCCACTAATAAAAAAAAGTATAGTGATATACTTCTCAAATAGGCTAGAATTTATTTTTTAATTGTTTCCTCAAATAGAATGTAAGCTCATTGAGGGCAGACTTTTTTTTTTTATTTTCCTATCCCTCTACCTAACACAGTATCTGGCCCATAGGAGGTGCTTCATAAATGCTTATTGATTATTAGCAAATTGTGTAACAAATTCCTTTGTTTTAAAATAACAGCAGTAATTACTAAAATTAATGGGGGGCAGAATGATCAGGACACTCAATCGCTTCCCCATCTCCCCACCTACCCAACTGCTGAAATCATAGAAGGGAAGAGGCAGGTAACAAAGACAATGAAAAGGCTATACAGCCTACAAAGGCATTCCTAACTTTAGGGCCACAAAACAATTAAGACAGAGCTGGTCCTAATCTATTCTGGTTCATATCTCCTTTCTTCCTCCAGGGGGAGCTCAAACACTTAATGAAAAATTTGTACTCTGTTCCATGTGGTCTGATGTCAAACAAAAAGCAGTTTCAGGAGATGGTTATTTATTCTGATGTCTGTACACTGAAGTTTTACTTTCTTCCCCTTCATTCCCAAACACCAACACAGTAATGAATGCAAGAACAGGGTCCATCATGATTCTAACAGGCAAATTCACTCATATCACTTCCTAATGCCTTCTATCACATATTTTTCCCTTACATACAAACATATTGAGGCCAGAATCAAGGGCAACATTTTCCCCACCTATTTTTTCCTGGCCCACCCTTTGTGAAATAGCAACCAATTGCCCAATAAGGGAACCTTTAAACAAAACCCACTTATTTTTGCAAAGGCAGTACATGATTAAATTAAAGAAGTAAACAGTAGCTGGCTGCCAGCTTAATATGAAAAGAGGAAAGTCAGCACTTCTCTATTTCCCCTTAGCTGCATTTTGCTCTCCTTTTTCATTATCTCAATCAGAAGTTCTTAAACTGAGGCCCATGAGCTTTTTAAAAAATTATTTTGATAATTATATTTCAACATAATTGGTTTCCTCTGTAATCCTATACATTTCATTTTATGCTTTTACAAATATTATGCTGAGAAAGGGGTCCACAGTCTTCCCCAGACTCCCAAAGGGGTCCAGGAGCCCTGCTCTGGATTCTTCTGACCCAAAGAGAGGGTTACAGAGATATTATTTATTTGTCGCTCTCCTCCTCCCCACACAAATGTGTGTGCAGCTCTGCTGAAGCCTATAAACAGTGGTCTGGGGCAGCAGCAGTTCTTTCCCTAGACCAAAGGTGCTTTAAACCCAACCTGAAATAGCAAAAAGGACACTTTTGGACATAAACAGAGCCCTTCTTTCAATTTTTAAATCATCTCGTTCTTCCAATTTCTCTCTCAATCAACCAAAGTAGACTTTAGCTCTAATCATTGGAGAATTGTTAGAGAAGTGTTGGGAAAACAGATTTTAAATTAACTCCACCACTTATTACTGTGCAATTTGGGGTAAGTTACCATCCCTTAATAAAGAAGTGAGAAGGCAGCGAGGTGGCGCAGTAGATAGAGCACTGGCCCTGGAGTCAGGAGGACCTGAGTTCAAATCCTGTCTCAGACCTGACACTTGACACTTACTAGCTGTGTGACCCTGGGCAAGTCACTTAACCCCAATCATCTCACTATAAATAAATGAATGAATGAATAAATAAATAAATGAGAATCTGAAAGATAATGAATGTTGTCAGTGAGTCAGAACTCGAGTCTCCATAATTTCTCAACTCTCCTCTCCTCTCCTCCTTAGAGAATTAAGAATAGTCACATCTATGGAAAAGGAAAGAAAGCATTCAGGTAAACAATAAATTCATTGATATATTTTCATAAAGAATCAGACTGATCTTCAAAAATAGAGTAAACTAGCTAGGCTTCCAGATAGCCTTACATGGCAGAAAGAATGCAGTAATTAAATGGAAAAAAAAAAAATAAAAGAATCATCATACCTGGAGAGAAACTACACTGACATTATCAAAATGGAGATGGCCATTAGACTGTGTTACTGCTGGATTTGCATAACATTTGACTCCATTGATGGCAGGCGCTTTGGGGGCTGGGGGATTCGCTTTTTCTTGGGAAGGAAAGAAGTCCTCCTTTGCAAAGTGAGTATGATCATTCTGCAGTGGAAAAAATGGAAAAGTACACATTTCAGAGATCAAGATACAAGTTAATCAAAACAAGTAAACAAAAGGAAAGGCATCTACTTTCTATTCACAAGTGGGAAAAATTCACATATTTGTTTTTATATATGTTAAATACAATCTTTTAAAATATACAATTTTGGCTCAGATTCTGGAGGTTTTGTGATCAATCGTTAAGGAGTTTTGAAACACCTCCTTACAACCCTGGTCACTCCCTTCCCTCGAGTCAAGAGAATATCTGTTAATCCCTCTCATAGGAGAGAAGAGTTTCACCCTTCCCCCCAACACACACACCTTTGAATTCACCCTCCCCAACCTGGAGAAAAGAAGGAGGGGGGAGGGGCAGCAGCTACAGCATGTGCCCCACTAGCAATGGCCTTGGGCCCAGGGACAACCGTTGCCTGGAAGGATCTCCCAGGTTCAGCACATCCTGCTCAAGGTAAAGAAACTGGCCTCTGAACTTGGGTAAGCACGCTCTTTTAAATTTGTAATTTTAACTGCTAATGATGAGATGTTGATTCTCTGTGCAAAAGAATTTGGAAATGCATTTAACTAAACTGAAGTCACCTGATTGGCAATGCGTTTGTTTCAAGTTTCAAAGTGGTGAATTTTTTGTATCAGTTATATCAAGCAACTTTTCATAATTTAGTTACTGCTAAAATAATTTGGCTAATGTTGGTTATTGTTTTACTGTGTAAACTAGCCAAAAAGCTTTGTTTGGATTTTGTCTTGCTGAGAATTTGCAAGCATATAATCTCTAACGATTGGTTTTTTACATCAGAACAAATTTAAATTTGAGATGTAAATCCTGGAAAAGTTTTTCCTAAACTGTGATTAGTGAAACTTGCTATTTGAGGTAAAAGCTCATGGGATTTTATTTTGAGTTGTCTGATGGATCATAAAAATCCACTGATACTCAATAATCTACCATCTGAAAGAAATGCCACAAGCTACTCAGATAGAATATGATACAGGTGGGAAGTCAGCATCAGGAAAAGCAGAGAGGACAATTTTAGCCTCAGTCTAAGATGGGATCTTCCTAGCTCAGTTTCCCCATTATGTTCCTTTGAAAAGGAATGTTACCCACCTGGCTATTCCTGAGTCTGGCTATGAGATGGATTTGATACTGCATGGTTGGAAAACTGAATTATCTGTATACAAACAGAGCTAAGGATGTTTTATCCTGTCATATTTGGGCCCTAAATCTAGTCCCTGTTTTATCCTTTTATAGCAAATTTCCATAATCAGAGCAAGGGGTCAGTAAAAGATCAATGCAAGTGTGTGAGATCATGCTGTTTTGACCTGAATATGTAGTCACTCAAAACCCCCAAACAACTGAAATTAAGTCAGAGACATCTTTAGTTTGGTTTGGGGAGGAAAATTTCAGTCATAATTGAAGTGAAAGTCAAGCTCTGACAAATTCGTTTGTGTAACTATTGAACCCAGGGGTGGAAAACTTCTACCTGCAACAGTGTTACTTAAACTTTTGAAAAAGTAAGATCAGGTAATCCTGCAGGTCAAATGCTAATTATTTTAGTGGTACTCTTACACTTTTACTTCTCCCTATGGATTTGTGTCTTCCAGACTACGGGCCATTCACCTACAGTTGGTAGCAAAGAGCAGGTAGCAGCCAATGTCCCCCCATTGTTTCCTGGATGCAGCCTGTGCAAAGCTCCAGTCAGCCTCCTCTTTGGGACCTCCTCGAGGCAGGGACAGCAGCAGTTTCAGAAGCCAAGTCCTTTGCCCCTTACCCCAAAAGGATTTAGGTCTCATTTATTTGAGGGGGGAGGGAAATGATAAGGATGGGATCTGGACCCCAAAAAGGAAAAACCCTGGGCTTTCCCACATGGCCAAATCTCTGGCTTTCACCTGAGGCTATAATCCCAATAACTGGTCTTTCATTATCACCTCTGCTCAATCACCCAATTTTGTTACCTGGCCCTCCATTGCCTATTACCTCCAGCTGGCTGCTGGTCACTTCCCACCCTTAATCCTAGCTAGGCTCCATTGTCCAGGTCCCAGGCATTCTGTTAACCCCAGCTTATTGGCCACTCCCATCCAGATCTCCTTAGACCCCACCTCCAGTCACCCCAAACTACGTGGCCACTCCTAGATCCCTCCCACAGTCTATTTGTATATAAGGTCTATGTTGTCTCTATTAAGGGGCTCAAATTCTTATAATCTATCCAAGCACTCAGATTCTTAAGATCTGGCCCGCTTGCATTAGTGATACAAATGCTTAGATTCCTTAAGAGTCTGGCCAATATGGCAGATGTTCTAATAAACCTTGTCTCTGGCTGAAAAAAAAAAAAATATATATATATATATATATACACACATACATACATATATACACACACACATATATATACATACATATACACACACATATATACACACACACTTTTTTTCTCACTTTAAAACATTGCCCCATTGCTCAGATTCTGATTTCTTTTTCTAGGAAGATGCTCAGATTCATTGAAATAGAATGGATACAAACTAAACATGTTATTCAATGTTCAGTTTATCCTTGTACTAAGCAAATGGTAACTTTTATCATGCTAATCAATGTGTCAATTCACATCATTATCTTAATTCTATTAAGGGCAACTATATATTCATTTGCTTCCATCAAACCATTTGTGCCTAGCAAAACAACAAAGAGAAAAAGAGCTCTTCAAGAAAGCACTTTTACCTGCCCATAAGTCTTCAATAGCATCTTAAGTATTCTTTCTGCAAAGAAGAGAATATAGAATCCACCAAAGACAGCAGCTGCTTTTTCAATGTAGTGATCAACTTTGGGATCAAATCCAAATGCCTAAGAGAAGAAGGAATAATAATTTAATAATTTAGATTAACCCAATTAATTACAGGAAAACAATCAAACACCAAATACCATAGATATTATGACATCAATTAGTGCCAAGATTTCAAGGCCAATTTCCCCCATCCACACCCTTTTGTGGAGCTGTCTTCCAAATACACATGTAAACATGTACCAAAAAAAAAAAAAAAGTGATAATCACTTTGGCATATTCCAGAGGGAGTCAAAATTTTAACTCAACCAACCAGAAGACCACTGATAATCAAAGGAGTAATACAGCAGTGAAAGGCAAAGACTGGAAGACCCCTAGGCTCTGACTAGTCAACAATCCTCATTCATGTTTAAAAATGTAATATAGGTCTTAGAGGTAACATGTAAATGGAAAATTAATTCACTGTCCTTTCTTAAGACCTGCCTCTGGATATCTGGATTTTGGGTTTTTTTTTTTTATTTTTGGTTAGGCAATTGGGGGTTAAGTGACTTGCCCAGGATCACACAGCTAGTAAGTGTTATATGTCTGAGGCCAGATTTGAACTCAGGTCCTCCTGACTCCAGGGCCGGCGCTCTATCCACTGCACCACCGAGCTGCCCCCTGGATATCTGTTCTTTTAAAGGAATAGATGTATTATGAGTATGACTATCAAATCCATACTTTGAAACCTTCACAAATACTTTTGTTCATACACAGAGAGACAAGAAAGAAGATTCAGGGCTTGGGGAGAAAGATAAGGAAAAGAGATTTAAAAGGGCCAAGGGAGGCTACCAACAGAAGTGTCCTAAGAAAAATTATAAAGAGTTGATAATGTTTATTTCAAGAACAAGAAAAAAAAGAGCTAGACTAAAAACCACGAGGCCCTCCTTATGATAAACAGACATACTCACCCACCTGCTCCCCCAAAAAAAGTCCAAAAATGGAAAATTAACATAAAAAACATAGAAACCACCATTTGGGGCCCCCAAAACTGTAAAGCTCACAAGTGAACAGCTGCCTAATGTGAAAAACATTGGGTTAGGAGCCAGACCTCTCATATACTCAAATGGAGCTATGATCTCATCAGATAACAATCCATACTGGCCTACTTACCCAGTGTGACTCTTTTCTACATCTTCTTATAGTTGACCACTGGAACTTCACGCAAATCAAATTATCAAGGGGAAACCAGCCTTCTACCACAAGGGCGCTAGAGGCCTGCCTCCTTCTCTCCTGACCTTGAGAAGGTTCCAGGGGGAACTCTGGCTGTTCAGACACCATGCCTTGTCCTGCCACATGAATAGCCTGTCTTCTCTTCCTGTCATACATTTCCTCAATGGTATATTTTAGTCCCGTTCGTCTCCGATGTACCTCACTGGAAATATAGTATAGCTTGCTCCTGCGTACCATATGCTCCTCCAATTACCTCTGTTGCAATATTCATTTTTAATTCTACAGAGTGTTGTGTTCTATGCCTCAGTGGCATAAAGCAGTACCAGTACAATGTTGCTGTGGTGATCGTTTAAACAGGTCTGAGAGGTAATATGTAAATGGAAAAATCAATTCCAAAGGTATCTAAAGGAAACATGAAATCAAGAGCCTGGACAGCTACTCTTTCTTTTTTCTTTTTTTGGAGGCAATAAGGTCAAGCAATAGGATTTTCCAAGGTCACACAGCTAATAAATGTCTGAGGCTGGATTTGAACTCAGTTACTCTCTGACTTCAGGGCCGGTGTTCTACCCATTGAACCAACTATTTTCAAATCCCAGGTCTGGCACTAACAAGAAGCACAACTTATATAGGTGCCTCAGTTTTCTCACCAGTAAAACATAGCATCTGCCCTCTCTACCTACTTTACTGGGTCATTATGAAACTGAAATAATTTTTTAAAATGGGAAAGCAATACTGTTCAAGGTGTCATGGACATCTTTGGGCAAGTTGGTGAAGATTATGGACCCCTTCTTGGAATAAAGTCATGACTGAAGTGGAAAAATATGTTATACAAATTTCAACTATCAGTCAGTTAATAAACATTTATTACATGCTTAAGTACTGAGGCTACAAAGAAAGGTAAAAGACAACCCCGCTTTCAAGGAGCTTGCAATTTAATGGGGAGAACTATGTATCTGTCTTTTTTTTTTTAAGCAATTGGGGTTAAGTGACTTGCCCAGAGTCACACAGCTAGTAAGTATCAAGTGTTTGGTCTGAGGCCAGATTTGAACTCAGGTCCTCCTGACTTCAGGGCCAGTGCTCTATCCACTGCACCACCTAGCTGCCTCAATCATTTTCTATTTATTCTGTGTATATCTTGTTTGTTCATAGTTCTCCCTAGGGGCAGCTAGGTCCAAATCCGGCCTCAGACTAAACACTGGACACTTACTAGCTGTGTGACCCTGGGCAAGTCACTTAACCCCAATTGCCTAAAAATTTTTTTAAAAATTAAAAAAAAAAAAGAAAATGATCAACAGAGGGAGGGCACTAGAATTAAAGGGAAGAAAAGGCATCCAGGAGAAGCTGGGATTTTATCTGGGACTTGAAGGAAGCCTGAAAAGCCAGGAGGTAGAGATGATGAGGGCACGCATTCTGAGCATGGGAGAAACCCAATGAAAATGCCCAGGGAGATGGAGAGGCTTGTTAGAGAAGAAGCAAGGAGGCCAGGGTCAGTGTGAAGGAATGGGAAACAGAAGGTATAAGCTGTTACGACCACCTCTTCTAGCAGACCTTTCCAATGCCCACTCTTGGACACTTCAGGGCGCTAGAGTGTTCATTAAGCTCATTCGTTTGAGTCTTACCTTTCCAGTGGTTCACAGAGAATTTTCTTTAAAGATAACGGCCTTATAAGGACTTCAATTTGATAACAAAATATGTCAAAAGGTCTTCCACTTAATTGAAATATAAAGGCTATATAGTCACATGCCTCTATATACTACATATAATGTATGCTACATGATTTTAAAGTGCCTTATGAATCTTTATGCATCATATTTTTGTCCATAGACAGATAGACTTCAATGCTTCAAAAGATCAATGATTCCATCAATTGATACAAACCATAGCCCCTCCAGGTTTTAGAGAAAGGGCTCTTAATCTGGGGGGTCCGTTAACTTATTTTTTTTCAATATTCCAATAAATGTAATTGGTTTCCTTTACCATCCTGCGTACTTTATGCTTTTAGACCCATGATTCTGAGAAGGGGTCCAGGTACTTCACCAGACTTTAGTTCAAGGGATCCAGGACACATACAATAGATGAAGAAGCCATGCTTTAGAAGCCAGTTTCACAAGTTGGAATGTTGGACTTGCTGGTGATGAAATTCTGTTCACTCTGTGGAAGACAGCCCTCAGAAAATCTGTCACCACCATGTATTGGATGCCTTCCCAACATGGGAGGTGCTGCCAGAAGCTGTATTCAAAGGGCATAGTTCTTGGGAGCCCAGAGTGACCTCCATGACCCAATGAGGCCCTGAAGGAGGACTTTATCCAAACTCATAGAACATAGATGCATAACAAACATGCACACTTACTTCAGCTAAAGCCAGGAAGAATAAATTCATGATACAGGGTGTTTTAGTCAGCTGTATTATAGGGATAAGGATTGAAACCTTGATTCCACTGATGACTACTAGTGCAGGTCAGCACCTTCTCTGCAGCTTAGAGTCCTTGAAGGGCTCTGATGGATTAAGTGACTCATCCAGGGTCATACAGCCAGTATAGGATCAGAGATAAGACTCAAACACTGGTCTTCCTGGCCCCAAGGTCAGCTCTCTATCTCCTATACAATACTGTCTCTCATATATAGATATAAATGTGTATCACATGCATTTCTCATGTGAATTATATATTCTACTACTATAAATTATATAAGTAAAATAAATATCCACATTATTCTATTTAAGCTCTTGCTGATTATTTATTAGCCTGATAAATACCCCCTTTCTTGATTTTAGATTTCTAAGACATGAAATTGCCAAATCAACCTAGAGCTACACTGTGAAAAACAGAATCAGAAATTCAAGTGACAGTATTTCTTCACGGAGTTATTCATTAAAATAGAATGTCTTACTTAAAAAAAAATAATAAATTTGCTAATTATCCTTTCCTCTCTCAGAAAAAACTTTAGTCTTCAGTATGATGTGTACATGTGATTACTATACAAATGAAAGTTTGTTTTCTTTGTAGCCATTTTAAAGTAGCAATATAATTCACTGCTAATTAAGGGATGGAACCTCTCTGGTCTTCAGGAAAATTCTGGCTCTTGACTTAATTTTCTCTGACTCAGAAAGCTGAATAACATACTGAAAAGTAAGAAAGCTGGATTCCAAGGTTAGCTAATTTACTTACTAGCTCTGGGACCTTGGTTATAAAACATTTCATCTTTCTAGGACTCATCTGTAGAATAAGACACCAGATCAAGTTCCCTAGCGGTTTTTTGAATTGAATTTTATTATTCCAAAAAGCGCTATCTCCACTTGGGTCTATGGTTGTAACAATTTAGCACGACTTTAAAAGATTTTTACCTAGAATTTCCTAAAAGACCACAAAATGAAAATGTTATTTCAAAAAAGTATTTTTTATTCTCTACTCTGTGTATCAGCCTCTTTATCTGGTGTAGATTTCTTTACGTGTGCCTCAATGTAAAAGGATGCCTGTTGTCTCCATCCCTCTGTCTTTCTTTGGCCCTTTCAGTGACTTTTCAAGTTCATCTCTCTCTCTCTCGTCTGTTTTTCTCCCTTCACTGACCAGAGTACAGAAATGTTCTATTTTTTATTTTATTTACTGAATAATTTTGTGTTTATTGCTTTTAATTTCAAGAGCAGCTAAATGGAATATTTTCTCTCTAAGAAAAAAAAAGTTGACAGCAGTTTTATTTGTGTGGCTTTCAAGAGAATTTTTTCTGTGAGTCAGTAGTCCTTGATTGAAAGAAATGTTCTGTTATCCCCTGGGCTTCTTTAGGCAAAGGAAATATTGGATGGGCATTTTCTTGTCTTCTCTGAGTAAATATGATACTGTCTGCTTTTAAAAGAAAACGGTAACACTGTATTGAAAAATTGAACTTGCCAAAATGCAGAACAGTAGAAATCTTTGAGCTCCTCGGAGGTGTACAGAAGTTATTTGAGCAGGAACTGCTGGCCAGAACTTCCAGACTGGTAATTTTGTCTCCAACACAGATAGCCTCTGTAGTTTAGGCTGGGCTTGTTACCTTGCTACGATTCAGTTTTCCCTCAAATAGAATGCAATCCACCCAGCTCAAAAAATGCTGCAAGGATCATCATTAACTAAGGAGACTCAGAATGTTTTAAAGAGGAAAACTGGGCACTGTGTTATTATTAATAAGCACATAAACAAATAGCCAAACACCTTACCTCTGGAATCAGCTGGAAAATTGCATTTGAAAACAGAGTCCCGATGGCCAGTCCCACAAAATAGGTCAAAATCTTGGGGAAATATGGCTTCTTTAGCAACGGAGTCAAAATCAGTCCCAGGAGAGATGCCAGGTTAATGATAGTCACCGAAAGAAATCCATATCCCCAGACTGTAAATGAGAACCAAGATAAAGGACGAGTCTGACAAAGAATTCGCTCGAAATCTAATTCAAAATAAAACACTCCAAACTTGACACTGACTAGCTGTGTGACCCTGGGCAAGTCACTTAATCCTGATTGCCTTACCAAAAAGCAAACCACCACACCAGACTGGCTCACATGCAGATGGAATGCGAGATAACTAACATTAGTGGGAATGACGTATGCCATTTAATTAGCCCTCTCTCATTAAGAATCATAGAAGATTAAAACTGGAAGGACCTTCTGTGATAGTACAGTGGATTTCTTCTCTATTTCTTATAGCTTCCATGACCTGTGTGACTCTGGACACCTAAGACAATAGTGGCTAACATTTACTTAAGCTGGGCAGCTAGGTGATGCAGGGGATAAAACACATGACAGAGTCAGGAAGAACAATTTCAAATCTTGCTTCAGACACTGATTAGCTGCATGACCTTGGGCAAGTCACTGCAGTTCCCAACACCTCAGTTTCCTCATTTGTGACATGAGAAAGCTAGACCTGAAGCCATTTAAGGTCCCTTCCAACTCTAACTCTCTAAGTTCTCTAGGTCTATTAAAAGATCATTATGTATCCCCATCCCCCATATCTAAGGTCAGGTCATAAGAGATGTGTTACAGTGAATAAAGAATCAGGGAAATCTAGGGTTGGGTCCTACTTCTGATTCGCACTAGCTGTGTGACTGTGGATAAATCATTTGACTTCTAAGTCATCCTTGCAGCCCTCTGAATCTATAAACTTCAAAGCGAATGCCTAGATACTAAGGTGAAGTTTCCTCACTATTAATAATAATAGAAGTTTCCTCACCAAAGGTTCCCAATACAATGCTAGAGGGGGAAAAAAGAAGGGGAGGGGGGAAGCTTAAGGTGATCTTACTTTTGGACAAAGATGGTAAGGAGTGAGGGATTCCAGAAATGATTCCCCCCCAAAAAAAATCTCTCTGCCCCTTCCTCAGTGTTAATGAGTTTATGAAAGATAAGGTAGCCTGAGACTATTGGTGTCACACACGTGAAGATCACCACAAAAGGTATAACAGGTCAACTAACAACTTGAGATTGCAATATATGACCTTAGCATGATATTTAAGGCTCTTTGGGCCTCAGTTTCCTCATCTGTAAAATAAGAAGTTTGGGCTTGATTGGGCTCTGAGGCTCCCCTGACTTCCATCATGGACAATGGATGGATGGCAGGAAGATGCCTTAGGGGTTGCTGTATGAAGAACTGTTGGTGGTGGTAGTAGTAGTAGTAGTAGTAGTAGTAGTAGTAGTAGTAGTAGTAGTAGAGTAGTAGAAGTAGTAGTAGGTAGTAATAGTAAGTAGTAATAACATTTATATAGCACTTCAAGGCTTGCAAGGTGCTTTTACACTTTTCCCATTCGACCTTCACAAGAGCCCTTTGAGCCAAGTGCTATCATCACCCTCATTTTACAGAGGAGGAAACTTAGGCAGACAGAGATCAAGTGACTTGCCTGTGGGCTTACAGCTAATAAATGTCTGAGGCTGAATTTGAATTCAGGTCTTCCCGATTCCAGGTCCGGGGCTCAATCCACTGCACCACCTAGCTGCCAAGTATATGCCCCAAACATAAAGTAATGATGATGATGATGATGTTGTTTATAACACTAAATTTTGCAAAGTATTTTACAAATTTCTGATTTTGTAAGTATGTATGTTTAGAGAAGGAGCTAGGTGGTGCAGTGGACAGAGCACTGGACCTGGAGACAAAAGACTCATCTTCTTGAATTTAAATCTGGCCTCAGACACTTATTAGCTGTGTGACCTTGGACCAGTCACTTAACCCTATTTGCCTCAGTTTCTTCATCTGTAAAATGAGCTACAGCAGGGAATGGCAAACCATTTCACTATCTTTGCCAAGATAACTCCAAATAAGGTCACAAAGTCACACGACTGAAAAAACGACTGAGCGACAATAACTCTGTGCAAAGAGCTATTAGTCACAGATGTGATTGTTGTCAGTGAGGTCTTTAAATGCACTAATAATCACACATGCTGCTAGAGTGCACCTCATAATTGGCACATGAATAAGTAAAAGCAATTAGCCTACTACCCAGGGCCCTCATTGCTTGGACACAGGAGGAAAAGAATCAGGCTACTATTTTAAAATAAATTGGAGAATTTACATTTAATGTTTCACCTTGGTCTGACTAAATCTGGCCTCAAATTTTTTAATAAATTGACAATGTAAAATACTTTAATTTACTTTTACCTTAAGGGATATAAGTAAAAGGATAAATTACTCTAGAGACAGCCAGCAAAAAAAAAAAAAAAAAAAGACAGAAAGGCAGCTCAAGGAAAACAGTAATAACTAGGAAGGATTAAACTTCATGATTTTCTGATTTGTGAAATCGAGGATATGAAGTATGAACATGTTACTAGATAACTAACAGACGATGCTTTTTTTAGACAAAGTATTCTTTTTAAAGTAATATGTGCCTTTTCATGAGTACCCCAGGAAATATATTCAAATTCCAAGAGAAAAAGAGATTGACAGACACAGTTCAAAACACTGGGAATAAATGGCACTTTATTTAGGATAGCATTTAAATATATCATTCTCCAAATCCACAGTGATTTCATTCATCCAGCATTAATTCATCAAGAATTAATTTCCAACTATTCACCAGATCTTGGAGTAAAATAGCCAGAAATAAGCCTTAGCCACCAAGAGAACTACTTGGAAACACAAAAAGCTTTACTTTCCACTTAAATCAGATCATCATCATAAATATATGCCTAAACATACTACACACAATAAGTGCTGATAAAGATTACAATGAAATGCATTAAGTAGAAAGAAAAGTTTTTCATCTTATCTCAAGTTAGTAGGAAAAAAAAATTCCCTGATCATTCATGATGCTTTCAAATATAATTGACTACTTTAAAATTATTCACTTGTGCTATGGCATATTAAGGAGATTGAATAAGGGAAAATTCTGAGCAGTTACTGATAACATAATAAACACTACTAGCAATGCCATCACCGCTAAAAAGAAAAAAAAATCATCTTCTATCCTAGTACAAAGAGCACAAGACTTAAAATGAACCCCTCCTTATTCACATCCAAGCCTGGGCATCTGCCTGGAGGAGACACATGAAGAACATGGCGGATATCTTCAAGGATTTGAAGGGCTGCCAGGGAGAAATAGAGATAAACATCCTGCTAGGTTAGAGAGAGAACTAGGGACAGTGGGGAGAAGTTTCAAAGAAGCAAATAGAGGCTTCATCTTAGAAAAACTTTCTCTTGGGTTACAGCTGCCCAGTGGGCCGACTGGGGAATGGGTGGGTTCCCCCTCAATGAGTTTCTCTTCAAGCAAAGGCTGGATGACAATCTAGCAGGAATGGGAAATCTTTTTCAGATAAAGATGGGACTACTGAGGTCTCTTTCAACCTGAATAGCCAGAGCAATCTATGGTGCCATTCTCCTAAGACTGTTTCCCGTTAACCAACTCTGGGTTAACAGGATTTAAACTGTTTCCAGTTCTAGTTAGAACTCTCCAGCAAGCTTGCTAACATAGCATAGCTATAATTCCACCTTCCCTATCCTAACTAGGCCTTTCGAGACCCCCACCCCTTTTGCTACTGCTCCATGCTCCCTGACCCCAACACTCCACCCACGACATGATGGCTGCCATAGGAAGCCCTTTGTCTCAAAACCCTATGTAAACCCAAGCACTCAGTGGCTCTGGGCCAATAGGTGGAGGACACATTCCCCTGCCCATCCAGATCACCACCTCCAGCATGCTACCCTATGGGAGGGGAGGGAGAAGGGAGGCTGAAAGAGATTCCATCCCCGAGATGCATCACCTGTGCTATTCTAATTATCTTTAGGTTTCCATTCAAAGAGCTACCCTAAATCTGCATGACACTACTCTAATGCTGAGACTTTGATTTCCCAGCTATGGGCTAGTAACTGAAACTGAGCCTCAGTTTGTTCATCTATCAAATGGGGTAATGATATTTGTACCACCTACCACAGAAATGAACAATTTATAAATAGTAAGGCACTATATAAATGCCACCTATTATTACTGGCCTCTCTGAGGTTCAGTCTCTTTAAGTGGAATAATAATAATGCTCATTACCCATCCAACAGGTTTCTGTAAGGAAACCTTTTTTGAAGTGTTCTAGAAATATGTAATTAGTATAGCCAATTCTCCTGGAATTATCTATCAGTGGTACAGCGGACTCTCAGCTGATGGAGGCCTCCACCTAATCTGCAACTTGGAGACTAAGAGAGCTGCCCAGACCACTGACAGACAGTTTATGTCAGAAGGAGGACTTGAACGCAGGTCCTTCCTGCCATTATCTTTCTCAAAATGAATCAAAGATGTGTGGGGGAAGGGGCCAAGTTGCAAACACCAACAAGAAATGGATGGAATAGGGATAGCAGCAGGCCCCAATATTTTTGAGAGAAATGAGGAGGGTTAGCCATTAGTCTTCAGATAGTTGATACCATAGGTTGTAGGTTCATTTTTATTTTGAAATATGAAGTCTAGGAAGAGGAGGAACCAAAATTCATTTCTCAGCAACCAGAGAATGAGAAGAGGGGGCAAAGTTAGAAGAAGGTTCAAGAAAAACACTAACAACCCCAAGTGGTCATCTGTTAGCCCTGCCATAAAAATGATCTGGGAACACCAGAGGGCAGAGGTTCTGTTTGTTTTTAGAAGTTTAGTTTGGAAGAGTATCCAGGACTGTAAAATTCCTATGTCACGCTCAGTTCATCAGAAAGACTCATCTTCTTGAGTTCAAATCCTGCCTCAGATACTTACTAGCTGTGTGACCCTGGGCAAGTCACTTAACCCTGCTTGCCTCAGTTTCCTCATCTGTAAAATGAGCTGGAGAAGGAAATGGCAAACTACTCCAGTGTCTCTGCCAAGAAAACCCCAAATGGGGTCAAGGAAACGCAACTGAAATGACTGAACAACAAATTGTCAACTAAATTCAATATATGTTAACAGTAGTTTGTTCATTAAGGGTAGAAGTCTTAACAGAATTACAAACAACTTAAAATGTGCTGGGGTGGGTTTATTTGCAGCTTAAAAAAGACAAAAATCTAACAGTACTGATTTACATTATGCCATATCTCCGTTCCAGACTGCTGCAGTGAGGTTGCTACTATGTCACTGTCTCACCCCAACACCTTCACTGGCTCCCTATTACCTGCAGAATAAAATACCAACTTCCCAACTTGGCATTGCAGATGTTCCACAAAACAGCTCCAACCTGCCTTTCTCAGCCTTATTTCATGGTATTTTTCCCTTCACCCACTCAACATAGCAACCCAACTGGACTCCTAGCTGTCCAGTGACTATGTCCAGTTTCTCTTCCATCTTCTTCCTGCCTGGATTGTACTCCAAACACATCCCTGTTAGAATACTTTTCTTCCTTTAAAGTCTCACTCAGGTTCTACTTTTTCCAAAGGTATCTCTGATCAACTCAGTTGAAAGTAATCTCCCTGATTTTTCTTATAATATTTTACTGGATCCTTCTTTTGCCTTTATTATTTGTCCTTATATCAATCTTCCTTGTGAACATGCCTTATACCTCACTTATGACCTCCTGAGGTCATGGACTTTGTTTTGGTTTTTTTTTTTCTATATCTATAATTTCAGTACTTAGCCTCGTCCTTAATCAACTTAACAAGCGCCTACTATGAGCCAAGTCTGTGCTAAGGACTCAAAAAACAGGCAAAAAATGATCTCTGCCCTCCAGGAGCTCACAATCTACTGACAGAGACAGCATGCAAAGTACTAATTGCTTAGCGAGAAATTGATTTTTTTGTTCAATTGAAAAGAAATGAAATGGTCTGAAATTTTAAATTCTGATAAAAAAGTCAATCAAATGGTGAAATTATGAATCAAATATTTAATATCTATCCTAGTTCTAGGCAGACCATCAGAATCAATGCCGCTTAAACACAGGAATTCAATTTTGCTTGGTTTCTGCAAAGGTGCCAATCATGGCTTTGATCTTTGACAAGTTAAGAGTCACCTGTAACATAGCTAAATATGCCATTAACCAAGCCCTGGTCATTCACATTTATGAGTGGTTTTTAATAGCAGTTTAACAGATTAATCAGGAGACAAAGCCAGAGCTTTAACCACCATATTTCTAATAGCCCCATGGCGGGGGGGGGGGGGGGGGGAACAACGGGACAGGGCAAGTTACATACTTTGTGAAGGTGTTGGTCTGGATTTGTGCTGTGGACGGTTACCACATGGGTGAAATGATAGCTGCTGTAAGACTGCTGGACATATCTTGGAGAAGTTAGAAACGGTGATTCTGGTGCTATTGGAAAGCCCATGAATGGAAAAGATCTCTTCACCAGACAAACACTGCAAAAAAATGAAACAAAGGAAAAATCACATCAATAATACAAAATGACAGAAAAAGAATACACTATTGTGAAAGGCCAGGGAAAGCTTCATCCAAAGTTCTCTACAGAATTCCTGTTTCAGTCTAGGCTTCCCTAAAGCTAGTGAATAGTCTAGGATTCCCGAAAAACAAGAAATTAGAAAAATCACCAAATGCACAGTGAATTAAAAGTCCATCTGTGACATTCAGAAAAATGAGACATAATCTGCATTCATAAAAGTATGGTGGGTGGGGGGGGGTTGGGATCAGGGTAGCTCTAAAGCAAGAGTTAATCATTTTCATATCATGCCCGTTTGGCAGTCTGATAGAGCTCCTGGACCCCTTCTGTGGGATATATAGATATTGCTTCTGCATCAGAGTTTGGAATCAGAGAAATAGTTTTGGGTTTTTTTTTTCCACAAAAAGCCAAGTAGAAACCTTAAGGAAGGCAGTCTGGGGGCTAGGCGGAAGCTGAACAAAAGGAAACTATATTAGAATAAGAAAACACTCTTGGTGGTAAATAGACTAACCAGGAGAATCTGTTTTTGTAGCAAACCTCCGGTGAATGCCCCGATGGCTAAAAAGTTTCCTTTCTAGTACTAAGCTCCTTGAGGGAAGGAGCTATGTCTTCCTCTTTTTTTTTCCTTTTAATTGACATCTCCACTTCTCCTCTTCCTCTCTGTGGCATTTTGACTTGCACAAAGTCCTCTTAATTGACAAGTCTAATGGCCTTGTCTCACATTCTCCTTTTTTGCAGCCTAGAACACCATCAACAACCTCCTCCTGGATAGCCTCTCCTCTGGAGACTTTGGCGACACCATTCTCCCTTGGTACTCCTCTTCCATGTCTGACCTCTCCTCAGTTTCCTTTGCTAAGTGATCATCACTGAGGTCCTGCTCCTTATTACAAGTATACCCCAAGAGTCTTTCCTAGGTTCTCATCTCTTTATCTCCACAGGTTCTCTCGATGACCTTTGACCACCCTAGTTCGGGCTCTCATCACCTCCCCTTTCCCCCCACTGCCCAAGTGATATATTAGCCTCCTAATTGATCTCCTAAACTCTAGTCTCCCTACCCCAATCCTTCCTCCATACCCCAAAGGTGATTTGACCAAGGTCTGATAGTGTCATCTCCTTTCTTAATAAACACAAGTGGCTCCCTATTACCTCTACAATCTAATATGACGCCCTCTTTGGGTCATTTCAAGCTCTTCCAAACCTGACCCCATCCTGTCTTTCCAGCCTCTTTCTTTATTACTCACCTCCAGGTGCTCTACAATCCAACCATAGAGGCATGCCCATTTTTCTCACTGGCTACTGCATCTACTAACTCTGTGCCTCTGTTCTGGGTATATCCATGCCTGGAATATATTCTCTCTTCACCTCTTCATCCCTCATCTCCTTCAAGATTCAGCTCAGAAGCATTTTGAGGCATTTCCTGGTTCCCCCAGTCGCTAGTGTTGTTCCCCTCCCCAGGGTGTCTATCTGCTCCACAAGAATTTTGCATATGTGCATGTCTCCCCCAGTGACAGGATCACTATCTATCAGCCTTTCCCTCTTTTCCATCGAGTTAGGCCAGTTCTTTCCCTAAACTGGAAGGAAGCTGTCCCCAAGACTTGATTTGCCTGGAGAGGCTAAGACTCAGGCTTTTCTGACTGGCCTTACTGGTTGCCTCAAGCCACGGTAACGTGGCATTTTTTTTTTATCATTTAAGAACATTAAAAAAAACCTTTCCAAGTGATGGAGTCAGGACCCCTTTAGACTTGAGGCCAAATCCAGAGTTCATGCGGGCGAAATAAATCTCCTTTTGTTAACTGGAAGGACCACTATCAATTCTAAACTATCAGGGGATGGACTTAAATCAGCCCAGCCTATCACATCTCTGTAAGAATGTAAGCTCCTTGAAGGCAGGGACTGGGGAAGCTTGCAGTTTATGAGGCATTTAAGGTAGGTGTGTGGGTGTGGGGGTCACAAGTCAAAGGTACAATAAGGGGGCACGAACCTAAGAACCTAAGGCAAGTCATTTCACCTCATCTGTTCAAGGACCAAGTTGGACTACATGACGTCCAACTCCCCACCTATAATCGTACAGTATAGTGCTTTTGCAACAGAAATTAAGTGATGATGAGAATAATGTGCTTAACAAACACTTCTTTGATTAACATAAATACTGTCAAGTTTGCATTTGGACAAGAGATAGCTTAGCCAATAAATTATCTTTTCTATATCCCTATTAAACAATCCCATAAGGTCTCTGACATGCATATCTCATGTAGATTTCATAGCTTGGAGGAAAACTAAGCATATTCCTTTTACAAAAATAGCTTAGGAATCATGGAGTATTAAAAAAAAAATACCCAAAGTGTTATTAATGAGGACTCAAACATCTCATGGAGCAAAATCAAAAAATCTTCACTTGGCTAAACTTATTATCATGAAATTGTGAGTTGATGCTAATGTTTGACCTTAGGAAGCTGGTACTCCCTTCATCAGGGAATTATTTAAATCAGAAATCTCAGGCTTTAGTATCGGCAATGAGCTCTATCAGAAGAGATTGTCCTGGTTTCCTGGATAAAACATAAGCTCCCTGAGGGCAGGGACTGTTTCATTTTTGCCTTGGTATCACCAGCACTTAGCACAGTGTCTAGAAATGGTGCTTAATTAATGTCTGTTGGTAAAGTCATGAGACTCTCTGGATCAAATGAGGTAATAATTGTAAAATTCTTTGTAATTATAAACTGTAATTATAAAATGACTATATAAGCACCATAAATCTTAGCGATGATGAAGATGATAATTATGGTGATGATGATGACAATGACAGTGATAGTGATTAAGATGTGTGAGCAAGAAAACCAAAAATAACCAGGCAACCGTGTGGCTCAGTGGGGAAAGAATGCTAGACTTGGAGTCAGGAAAACCCTAGTTCAAATCCTGTCTCATATTTATTGACTGAGGGACCCTGAAGAAGTCACCTTTCTGGGCCTCAGTTAACTCATCTGCAAAATAGGGGTGATAATAATGATATCCACCTCACAGGGTTGTGAATAAATAAGGTAACATATACAGTAGTTCTAAAACCTTAAAGTGCTGAATACTACTTAGCTGGTACTAATTATTAAGGACCTACTATATGCCAGGCACTGTGCTAACTGCTAGGGATACAAAAAGAGGCAAAAGACAGTTTCTGCTCACAGGGAACTCATAATCTAAAGGGGGAGAAAACAAGCAAATAAGTATGTACAAGCAAGCTATATACTGGCTAAGTAGGAAATAAAGAGAGGGAAGGTACTGGGAATGAGAGGGATTGGGAAAGGCTTCCCATGGAAGATAAGGACTATAATGGAAGCAGGGACACCAGTGGACAAAAATGAACAGGGAGAGCATTCCAGGGAAAGGGAACAGCCCCAAAATGCCCAGAGCCAAGAGACGGGGCATCCAGAAGAGCAAGAAAGCCGGTGTCACTGGGTTAGCACTCAAAAACAGATACTGGGCAAATGAGATAACATTTGTTCTGAAAACAATCTGTTAGTTATCTGATTATAAATTAGAGCATGGATTACTAGAACAGTTACTGATCCAGCCCAACCCCACTTTGGGCTCCTTGAAATGCTATCTGCAAAGGCATGAGGAGTAGACAAAATTCAAACACTTTCTAAATAATTTCCATTTCACAGATTGGGGAGAAACTAGTTCAATGGGAAAAGCTGTAGAAGCTTCCTGGCAGTATAACTTCCCAGAGTCAGAAGTCATCCTAACTCCTTAAGTCAAACGTTTGACCCAGTTAGCCCACATTACGCTATTGGTTCATGGTCATCCGTGAATCCTGTGATTCTGAGCATAAGTATTTATTAATCACCTACTATATGACACTCACTATATGCCAGAGGCAAAGACAAAAATGAAAGTCCCTCAAAAAAAAAAAAAGAAAGTCCCTGCCCTGGAGGAGCTGATATTCCAGTGGGGGGGGGGGGG